CAGCAAAGCTAAGTCAGGCAAAGCCAGGAGCTGGGTACTCCATCAAGTTCACCCATGTGTGTAGCAGGGGCCCAAGCCCGGAACCATGGTCTCCTGACCCTCAGGATGCATTAGCAGGAAGCTGGATGAAAACTGGAGCAGTGGGACTCAATCATTTCAGTAGGGGGTGCAGGGTCCCAAGTGGAAATTCAGCCCACTGTGGCACATTGTCTGCCTGAAATCATACTTTATAGGGCCGAGGTGCACACTAGTCGGCTGAAAATTTGGGATGGAAGAGAAACAAAGGGCAAACCATGGCTGAGTTACATTCCTGTGAAATGGCGTTCATGACCATGGCAGATGAGCAGCTACCAGGCTTCTGGTGCTATACTAAGTACATTGCAAGCATTTTCTCACACCTACAACATGGATTCCATGATTGTCCTCACCTTCCAAATGGGGGAAAAGAAAAAACAATGCATGAGAGATAAAATTAGATGCCATGTCCAAAACCCTTTGGTTTCTTTGCGCTAGAGCCAGAGTTTGAATTCCAGGAGCCTCATGATCCTTGCCTGTCATTATGTGCATGCCCTCAGGTCTCTGCACTTGCTTCTCTCTCTGGCTGCAGCACCTCGTACCTGGTCTCTGCCGCCAGCTCCTCAGCATTCAGGCGCCAGCCACTGGTACCTCTCCAGGGAGGCCCTCCGTGAGCCTAGCATATCCGTAGCTGCCCATGTAGTCTTTGTCACAGCCCTTTCCCTGCACTCAAGCAGCGCTTGAAACTGTTCATTTAGCTGTCCTCCAACTATCTGACCCCCAGAGTATCAGACCCACCTCCTAATCACCTCTGGGTCATCAGTGTATCGCCAGGACCCAGAGCAGTGCCTCATACATGGTACATGCTCAGGGCAGCTGTATTGGATCAAGAGACCCTGCCTCCACCATTCACAAGTCAGCGTGCTGAGTCAGTCCTAGGAAAACACCTGCTGACCCCTTCCTGTCACCAGGAGCAAGAGAAAGGGGGAAGCAAACAGTAACCCTTTCCAACATTCAGTTACTGTCTCATGAGTGCTATGTGCTAGGCCTTCTGGCTTCCTAGTTAAAGAGTGTTTGAGGATATGAAGCCCCCATACCAAACATTGTTGTACACCTCAAATGCACCAAAATGTCCATACACGGCACACAGTAGGCCGGAGACAGCATTTCCAGCATTGTCAGAATGGAAACCAGTGTGTGTATTATGTTTGCGAAGAGGGTGCATCAGGCTCTGTAGTGTCCACAGAGGCTCCTGCCAGGGACCAAGGGCCTCTAGCAGGCTGAGAGAGGAAGGGACAGGGGTCGACAGAGGCTGTCACGTGCCAAATATGGAGCCCTGTGGCTGTTGGCAGGTGGGTGGGGAGCAGAGGCCGGGAAAGCCGCATTTTGATCCTTGCTCTCTCGCAGGAGCTGAAGTGGGCATCAGCACCTCTCGGATCCACGCCCGGGGACCAGTGGGGCTTGAGGGACTGCTGACCACCAAGTGGCTGCTACGTGGGCAGGACCATGTGGTCTCAGACTTCTCAGAGCATGGAACCCTGAAATATCTTCACGAGAACCTCCCCGTTCCCCAGCGAAACACCAACTGAAACAAGCTAGGGAAACCCAACCATGGTCCCAGGGGAACCTGAACTTGTCTTGGTCATCTCAGGGGAGAAGTCAAACACTGACTCTCATCCAGCTCTCGCAAGGACCCTGCAGTTGGAAAATCCACCTACGTGCTCTGGGCTTCATTTGACAATCCTTGTCTTGAATTCCAGCTCACCTCTTCTGTTTTGTTGTTGTTGTTTTGTTTTGTTTTAATAATTCCTGCGAATTGAGACTTGGCTTTGCCCAGCCCGGTTCCGTGGATGATAGAAACCCAAGGCTGGACTTGCCTGCACATAAAAGGCAAAGGAAAATCGCAGCTGCTTTTTCGTATGGCCTCAGTGAGGTAACATCTCCCTGGGCATTCAGTCGGTACCAGAGCCCTTCTTTCCTAAGAAGACCATTCACATTTCACATCCTTTCTTTTACATGCCGTCATCCTCAGAAAGGAAGAGTTGGCAGCTTGGGAAAGAGACATCCTTCTTTAAAGCATTCTTATCAGAGGCGATCACAAAAGCAGTCAGCCTTGTCTCCGCCGGGAAGAGGTGGGTCTGTGTTTGTGGAGAGGAGGAGCAGTCCAGCTGCCTGTGGCTGTCACACTTCAGGAGAGTGTGATGCCCCCAGACCCTGAGCAGCAGCCAACAGCAGGTGCAGGACTCAGGGTGTTCACCCACCAAGAATGAAAGCAATGCATGATCCTTTTGTATGAATTAGTCTGTCAACCTAGCCATTGCTTCTTCCTAATTAGAGGATTATTTTAATACTTTTGGATTCTTCTCTCTTTTTTTTTTTTTTTAGAAATAAAGTTCTTAGGAAAAAGCAGGTCAATGGAAGTTTTCTCCCTTATGTGTTATCATCCCCTTTATCCTTCTTACTCTTGTACGACCCTGCTGCCCCCATCCGTAGGCACGGTCTGTTCTCCAGATGCGGCCAGGGAAGACCATATGCCTTGGCAGTGCATGAAGGTTCCCAGGGGGAGGGATTCGGGCTGGGAGAGAGGAGAAGAGAGCAGGACAGGAAACCCCTGAGCTTCCATAGTGGGCACAGTGAAGGTCCGAAAGTGGAGGATATGTGCCACAAGAGCATGCTGCTTCTATATTGTGTCCCAAGGCAGTCAGCCAGGTGGCCAGAGGCCCCAGGCACTGGCCCCAAATCTCTTGGGATGTAGCTAACTCCATTCTCCCAGCTCTTCTGCTTGTCTTGTTGCCTTGAGATCACCTGACGGCTGTTACCCTCCCCCACGGAGCTTCTCCTTGGGGTCCCCTCTTCCTGGCAGTCTGAAATTGAGAGCTCTTACCTCTGGAGGCCCTTGCAAAGCAGTGAGCACCTCTATGCTTCCCCTTGTGCTCCAAGGACATCTCATGAACCCCAGAAATCAGTGTCACATGGAGCTTGTGCCCAAGTTGTTTGCAGACACTGTCTCTCATCCAGACCCTTATGGAATGGCAAGCCACCCTGCCTACCCTGGCCTCTGAGTGGGGTCCTGGCATAGCTTGCCTGAAAGGGCAGTAAGCAAAGTGACTGGAGCAAGAGTCGGAAATAGAAAGTGATCCAAGACAGCCAGAGCCCTCGGAGAAGACTGGGAGGAAGGGCAAAGCAGGCAGACTTGGATCTGATGCCTGAGAGAAGCGCACCGTAGGAGCAACCAGTGGATGGAAAGTCCATGTGGGGACTGATGCAAGCTGATATCCCCTGAAGGTGCAGAGAAACAGGTTTGGGGAACAAGGAGTATGTCCACTTGGGGCAGAAGGTTCATGCTGCTCAACAGGAAGCTGTTATGGTGTCAACAGCTGGCATTGGTCTAATCCTCATTGGAGCCACAGTTCTTCAGGCATGGGATATGAGTGAGTCTAACCTAGCAAATACAGGTAAAGCTCAGCCATCCATCAAGGCCCATTTCACATATGCAGAAACCTCAGCCTTAGTCTCTACAGGAACCATGGGCCATCCATGTTCTCTGGTGTTTGTGTTTTTGGTTTTTTTACCCCCACCAAAAGAGGAGATCCCTAAGAGGGAACCAGAATGCAGCCACTTATACAGCCCACCTTGGCAGTCTGCTAACCCTCGCTGGCTTTTCCCAGTTTCAGAGGTGATATAGTTCTGGCACAAAGCAAACACTGAATAAGGAGAGATGGTTTCCTGCAGTGATTCTCCAGTTACTCAGTGTGTGCTTGGTTCTGTGTTCTGTAAGAAACCGGAAGTGTCTGCTATTCCTCCTGACATAATCTTAGGAGCCAGATTTTCTCATATCAGCCATGTCTGATCAGCAGAAGCCTAGCCTTGCACTGTACATGAACAATGAGAAGAGTCAAGTCTGATCCCACCTGGCTTTTGGTTGTGGCTGCAGCAATCAAGAACCTAACTTGAGCCTGAAGAAAAGAAGGGGAGTCCAGGTGAGTGGCGTCACCTGCCTAAAAGAAGAAAGTTGCTGCTGGAGTGGCTGCAGGCGAGCAAGGCTGCCGGCCATGGGGTGGGAGCCAACAAGAGACTGGGTCCCTCAAGCACTGCTGTGGTAGATTATAAAACAGGTGTAGTGTGTGTCCTCTTCTCAGTTGGGTAGTCATCTAAATCTCCAAGCAAACAAAGGCTTAGTGTGTTTGGACAAGGCATCTGGAAATCTAGTCTGGCAGAAGTTTGAAATCTGCTAATCCAGTCCGACTCTTAAGCATACCTGGAGCAAAATATTTCTGAGTAGCACTTGGTGTCCTGTTATGAACAGCATCTCAGAGCAGCAGCAATCGCAAGAGATGTTTTCAGGTACAAACAACAGAAACCTTAGGTCAAACTAACAGGAGAAAATGTATGCTATTTGCCTGCATGACCATGAAGTCCAGAGGTGTGGTTCAGGCAAGTCCTGACCAGGACTCTGGCTCTGTTTCACTGCAGATCTCTGCAACTTCAGAATTGCCTCCAGAGCTTATTCACATGACTGCTAGTTCCACAGATCTGGGAATAGAGCTGAGAATTTTTGTTTCCTTTATTGTGTTTGGCAGTAAATATGATTTATTGTTGCTTGTTACAAGGAGACGACCACAGAAGAGTGGAGGCGCTCAGTGAAGAAGTGCCTGCCACTTGTCTCGAGGACCAAGATTGGGGATGTATTTGACCCCACAGCCATCACAAATGAGCCACTTTGCAGCCACTAGATCTTCAAAATCCACCTTCATTAGACTTGGTAAAGCCCTGTTTCTTTGAGATGGATCTTCTGGCAACCAAAGAACTTGAACTTTCTCCTTGTTCTGCAGCTTGTTGGACGGACATGATGGCCTGGCCAATGTGAACACTGGCCATTGTTTATTGCAGCTTTCTAAGTGCATTGCCCCTGTCCCTACCACCACCTCAGTCTGGAGTCTATATTAGGAAGAGAATGAGGGCAGAAGGGTTTGTCTGCTGTAAAGGGCTGTCCCTGAGGTCCCCTAGGACAACATGTAAAGGCAACAGACCATGTACAGCACCAAGGAGTCTGCTGTTTGCATTTTCACTTTCAGTAAGTTTCCACATACTGCTTCTGCCCCCACCACCATTTTTCTGGAGGCTGTATGTTGGGACCCACAGCTCAGGATATCCGCTGACATTAGCCGACATTGTGATTGGGATGTTGAGTGGGATCAAAAAACTGTTTCCTCCTTTCCCCCATTAGGCAAAAATCCCAAGCTCTACTGCTATTAAAGTGGCCTAGATCAGTCCTTGTAGTTAGCATAAATGAAGAGTAGTGCTGCAAGTAATAGGAAATCCAAAAGACTAGGGCTTGAACTTGACAGGAGTTAGTTTTTCTCTCATATAAAAAAGTGTAGAGGAAAGCAGCCCCAAGGCTAGTCAGGCTGCTTTTGATTTTTGCTCCTCTACATCAGAATTATATATGCATATATATATATATATACATGATTTTTTATATATATGATTTCTATTGGTGAGGGAGAAGGGTAGTTGGATTGGATAGAAAATTTATTTTCAGTCATGGAACTGAGTGCGGAATCCTTTCACCTAAACAATGTGGTTGCTATACAGTGAGGGAGGAGTGCAGGAGAAGCCAGAGGACAGCCACCTGCCCCAGTACACTGACAAACAAGTAGTGGGAGGCAGTTGTGACAATATGCACTCTGAGGACTTGTGCCGCCATCTGTACCAGCCCTGGCCTGGCTCTCCCAGCTCTGCCACTGATGAGTCCTGTAACCTTGGGCAACTAACTTGAACATCTGTGCTTTAATGTTTGCATCCATCTTGGGTCACCTTTCCATTTAGATAGAAGAATGTGTCCATCACTAAATTGCAAATGAGCTAAACAAGTCGTTTTTCCTGTCTGACACCCACAGCTGTCCAAGTCTGGTAGACATTTGAAAATTAAGCCCAAAATCTCTGACACACTTCTTGAGACACACACACACACACACACACACACACACACACACACTCTCTCTCTCTCTCTCTCTCTCTCTCCATCTAGAAGTTACCAGATCTGTTGGCCTCAGCTTCATTATAGCAAAATACTGGAGGGGCAAGTAAGGTATACAAGACTCCACAGACCTGCTGACCCAAAATGTCAGGGTAGGGCAGGAATAGGAATTGTTTAGTCATTCATGGATTCCTCACCCCACTTCTGCCATTGCGAGTCACCTGGCAGTTTTCTTTCTCTCCCATTCAGAAGTAAGTAGCCCAAGACTGGCAAAATGATTTCCTGATGCAATCAGGAACAGATATGGTCCTGATTTTCACCTGGCATCCTTGCTGTGCCATTTCCGTTGTACACTGATGGTTGTTCCACCTTTGCACCCGTGACTCATCTCTGTTCCAGATAGGTGTGGTGCAGCTGACCCAAGACACATTTCCTGAAGTCCCAACTACCGGCTTCCACTAGCACCCCATCAGGGAGAACTGCTTCATGTGCACACCTGGAAAGCTAGCTGCAAGGGAGCTGGGAAATATAGTTTTATTTTCAGCACATTCTGGCATGAACGAAAGTCTTGATCTTCATAAGGAAGAGGAGAGGATAAATATTGGGTAAGCATCCAGCAAGCAGTGTTTATCACAGTACTCCTAACAACGTTTGAAGAGTAGATTTTTCTTGGAAGATCTGACTACTTCTTTTAGCTGATGGATGGTTTTGTACTGCAGGTTTTGTGGGAGAGAGCTGAATTACTGTATGAGAGATGGAGAAAAGACAAAATCTCTGGACAATTCTGAAAAGAACAGAGTCATGGGCAGTGCCACTGCAGGTCAGGATATAGACTGAAGATCAGCAGAAAGGCTGCAGAAAGCTTAACCAGCAAAGAGTGAAAAAGCTCTCTGCTTTGAAATGATGGCTCATTAGGGTTGTTACGGTCTGAATGTGACCTTCTCCCCAAATTCACATTAAAGACTTAACCCCCAGGTGGTGGTATGTTGAGAATAAACTTAAGGGAGATAATTCAGTTAGAGGAGGTTGTGAGGTTAATGCCCTCTTGATGAGATTAGCATCTTTATAAGAAGAGACAGCAGAGGCTGGGTTGGGTTGGTCAGCAATACCTGCCAGCATGAGCTGGAACTGGGAGCAGATCGGACTGGGCTTGGCTATATCACCTGCTGCCATATGCCAAGGTGAGATGAACCATGCTAGACTGCGCAGCAGCACCCACCAGCACATGTAAGACCCAGGTTTGGGGGGGTGCAATTCCAGTAGGGCATATGTGGGGACTCGCCTGCTGGACCATTGCTCCTACTGGTGAGCATGAAAGCTGGGAGTGGGAGCAGACCAAGCTGGGCTGGGCTACATTACCTATTGGTCTGCATATGAAGTAGATTGGGGGAGAGCCAGGCTAGACTAACTGAGTGTAGCCACTGGTGCAGGCATGAGCCAGAGTAAGGGCAAGCTAGTTGGGCTTTGCCACAGCATCAGCTGGAAAATGCTGGGACTGGGAGCAAGTCCTGTTTTGCTAGACTCGAGAACCACCTGGAGAGTGCAAGATGCGGGGTAGGGAGTGGGTCCTGTAGGAAAACTGTGGACTCCTCTCTGATGAGCTGCAGCTTTCACTAGTGAGCACAAGAAACAGGACTTGTAGTGGGCCTGGCTAGATAGGCAATGGCACCTGCTGGCATGAGTGAGTGGATGGTGGAATGGTTGGGTTGAGTTAGGCTTTAATGCCCAATGATATGCACAAGAGCTGTGCATATCATTGCTGGGACAGACCAGACCAGTCCAATGCACATGCTGGCAGGCACAGGAACCAAGGCTGGGGGCTGGCCCAGAGGAGGTTATTGGAAGTCACTCTGACTGGGCTACAGCTCCCGATGGTGAAGTGGGGGCCAAGTGTATAGTGGGTATTATTGGGCTGGGCTGTGGCACCCATTGCTTTGTGTAGAAGACAGAGCTGGAAATAGATCTGACCTAGCAATTGCAATTCTCAGTGATGAGTGTGTAGGCTGATGTTGGTGACAGAATGAGCCAGACCCCGTATTGACGGACACACACAGGAGTATAGGCTGGGATCACCTCAGATGATATTTTCTTTTTTGAGGATCTCCCCAACTGAACTGCTGGACTCAGAACTCCAACCATGGGGAGAGTGGCAGGACCTGGGATCTGACCATGGAGTGCATGTATCTGAGTGGGGTCTTGTTAGTTACTGAGGAGGGTGTAGTGGACAGCATACCCAAATGCACATTGAGGAGTTGGCAGTCCATTGTAGCTTGTAAGGACATCTGGTGCCATAGCAGAGGAAGGAGGGCAGAACAAATCTGTCAACTACCCCAGTGAAGTTTGACCACAAATTTCTGAGCGAATGGAGACTGAGGTGGACTGTGTTCGCCAGTGGGACTTGGAAGGATTTCCTCAACCTTGGATCTGCAAGATCAACAGCATGTCAGAACTATTGAAACCACTTGAACAGAACGCTCAGAACATGCTCCACATTAGGGACCCTGGGATATCACTGGGTGGCCATTCCCTATCCCTGGGTGCTGGGGGAGTTGGGAAGCTAGGTCTGGCTTCTCTCCTTGTCTCTCCCCTACCTCCAGATACAGGAGGAAGATCAGGAAGGTGTGGAAATAGTGGTCTCACCTGCTTTCCCCAGTCCTTATCCCTTCCCACCCTAGTCAACTCTGTAAACATTATCACAAATAAAATTTAAAAAAAGAGATTGAGCCATGCGTGGTAGCCTAACAGCTAAAGTCCTCACCTTGAAAGCACTGGGATCCCATATAGGCACTGGTTCTAATCCTGGAAGCCGTGCTTCCCATCCAGCTGCCTGCTTGTGGCCTGGGAAAGCAGTTGAGGATGGCCTAAAGCCTTGGAACCCTGCACCCATGTGGGAGACCTGGAAGAAGCTCCTGGCTCCTGGCTCCTGGCTCCTGGCTCTGGATTAGCACAGCACCAGCTGTTGCGGTCAGTTGTGAATCATTGGACAGAAGATCTTTCTGTCTCTCTTCCTCTTTGTATATCTGACTTTGTGATAAAAATAAAATAAATCTTTAAGAGACAGAGAGAAAGAGACAGCAGAGGGCCTGACATGATGGCTCAATTGGCCAATCCTCCACCTTCAAGCACCGGCAAACCAGTTCAGGCCCCAGCTGCTCTACTTTTCAATCCAGCTCCCTGCTGGTGGCCTGGGATGGCCCAAGTCCTGGGGCTCCTATACCCACATGAGAGATCCAGAAGAAGCTCCTGGATCCTGGCTTTGGGTGGCTCAGCTCTGGCTTTTGTGGCCATCTGGAGAGTGAACCAGCAGACAGATATTTCCCAGTCTCTCCTTGCTGTAAATTTACCTTTCAAATAAAAATAAATCTTTTCTAAAAAAAGAGAGAAAGACAACAGAGAGCTTGCTGTACCCCAAGTGAGAATATATCAAAACTGGGAGCTTGCTTCTCCCCAGGCTAGGATACATCTTCAGCAAGCTGGAAGCTGGGACCTCAGCAGGAATCAAATCTTGGACTTGATTTCTTAATCCCCCAGTTGTCAGCCCATGAGAAATAAAATTTCTGTTGCTGGGCACAACTCAGTAACCTAGTGGCTAAAACCTCACCTTGCACATGCTGGGATCCCATATGGCCATCGGTTCTAATCCCAGCAGACAAGCTTCCCTGATTGTGGCCTAGGAGAGCAGTGGACAACCCAAAGCCTTTGGAGCCTGCACCCACGTGGGAAACCCAGAAGAGGCTCCTGTCTTCAGATTGGTGCAGCTCTAGCCATTGTGGCCACTTGAGGAGTGAATCATCTAATGAAAGATCTTGTTCTCTTTCCAATAAAAAACAAAGTCTTGTAAAAAGAAATTTCTGGGCCCAGTGCTCAGTGGCCTAACAGCTGAAGTCCTCTCCTTGAACGCACTGGGATCCGATATGGGCACCAGTTCTAATCCCAGCAGCCCCACTTCCCCTCCAGCTGCCTGCTTGTGGCCTGGGAAAGCAGTCAAGGATGGCCCAAGGCTTTGGGACCCTGTGTGGGAGACCTGGAAGAGGCTCCTGGCTCCTGACTTTGGTTCAGCTCAGCTTCGGCTGTTGTGGCCACTTGGGGAATGAATCATCCGACAGAAGATCTTTCTGTCTCTCGTCCTCTGTATGTCTGA